GTGAAGTCACATGAACTGAGATCGAGATCGACAATAAGCCAAATCCATGCATACAGAACTACGTAACAGAACAACCGAGCGAAGGTACCTATGTATGTGTATAAAATCCTAGAGAGAAGATTGGTATATGTCGTCATGAGCAAAGAGAAACCAACTCCTCCAAAACACAAACGCATCATAAAACCCCATCTCAACCCCCTTATCTACCATAAAACATCTCCCCCAGACTAATATTCGCCTGACGAGACGAACCCCCAACCACACTCCTAGACCTAGACCTCGACTTCTTCCTCACAAAAGCATACTCCTTCTTACCGTGTCTATCCCTCCCTTCCGATTCAATAAACAACTTGCTACCGTGTCCAGTGCGCAGACGACGGGTATGTTCGAAGAGGATGTCGGTTTCGCGTTGGGACATTTCGCGGAGGACGATGATGTATTCGGGGTTCTGGGTAGGATGTTAGTATAGTACTTGGTAGCAGAGTACAGGGTTGGTGGATGGGGACTTACTACGTCGAATTCGTAGGGGATGTCGTAGTAGTGCAGCGTCTCGACGTCGAGATGGCTTCTGTGTACCTTGGCGTAGGTAGGCGGTGGTGCAATAGCGATTTGATGCGAAGAAGAGTGCGAGTGAGAATGAGAGTGGTGGTGGTGCGGTGGTGGCGGAGGCGCAGGAGGAGCGATTGGATGGAGAGGATGGTTAGGCATCATGCCGGCCTGGAGCTCACGCTGCTTGTCCGGGTTGACGAGCGCCTGGATCTGGTTGTCTTGGAAGCCGAATTGAGCGAGTCGCTTGCGCATCGTCTCCTCGAGCTCCTTCTCCTGGGCCTCTTTCCTTCGCTTCTCGGCTTCTTCTGCCGCTTGCTGCTTTCGCGTGAAGGCGTCGAATTCTTCCTTTTCCTTGCGCTTTCGCTCTTCCTCTTCGAGTTTGAGCTTCATGATGAGCTCCTCTTTTGCTCGCTTCTCCTTGTCGGCGTCTAGGATCTTCTTGCGCTCGTACTCGTAGATGATACGGTCTTTCTCTGCTTGAGCTTCGGCCTCTTCTTTGGCCTTCTTCCGTTGGTATTCATCGACAGCACGCTGTTGAGCTTCCTTTGCCTCTCTTGCCTGTTTAGCTACCTTGGCTTCGTTATCAGCGATGATTCGCTTGCGCTCTTCTTCAAATGCCTTTTCCTTGAGTTCACGCTCCCGTGCCTCCTTCTCAAGTTTGGCCGTGTTCTCTGCAATGATGCGCGCGCGCTCTTCGTTCTCTCGCTTCCTCTTCTTCTCCATATCAGAAAGGATCTTCTCACGCTGTTCCTCGGCCTCGCGTTGCTCTCTGGCTTGCTTGAGCTTGGCCTCGGCGAGAATTCGCTTGCGTTCGTCATCCTGTTCTCTCTGCTCCCTCTCTAGTTTGGCAAGCATCTTGTCGCGCTGTTCCTCAGCCTCCCTTTGCTCTCTGGACATCTTTGCCCTGTTCTCGGCGATGATTTGAGCTTTCTTCCTCTCCTCGTCGATATCGCGTCGCTCGCGGTCTCGGTCTTCCCTCTCTCGCTTCAACTCCCAATCGCGACGCATACTCTCCTCCATTCTCTTGATGTTTTCCGCTTCTTGCTCACGGTCCCTTCTGTCATGGATGAACTCAAGCTCAACCCTGCGCCTGGCCAATTCTTCCCGTCTCTCGGTTTCCCTCTCCCAACGTTCTCGTTCAGCCTTCTCCTCGGCTTCTTCAAGGCGTTGTTGCGTTAGTGCCTCTTGTATCTTATCCTTGTAGCCATCTGACGAGTGATGACGTCTCTCCCTTTCGAGTTGCTGTTCAGCATCCCGAAGCCGCTGCTCAGCAAGTGTCAACTTGACTTTGTCCTCATAACTGCGGTCTGGCGAGTGATGATGGTATCGCTCCTGACGCTCCCTCTCAAGCCTATCTTCGAGATCTCTAAGGCGTTGCTCAGCAAGTGTCAACTTGATCTTGTCTTCGTAATTCGGCTCGGGAGCACGTTGATGCTCATACTCGTGCCTAGAGCGCGACCGGTGCTCCTTCTTTATGTCTGCTCGCAGCGCAGCGATATTGTCTTCCAGGTCCTCAAACCCACCAGGCATGCGTCGGCCACGAGGACTGGCGTCTTGACCCTTCTGCTCAGTGCTTACACGGGGGTGGCTATCGTTATCCAGGTGACTGGTGTTGTAGATTGTCACGTTGGGAGCAGGCGCATGACCTTGTGAGCGAGTTCGATGGAGACCGGTTGTATAGTGCACTTCTGGAGCCAGAAACTCTGTCGTGCGACGACCGTAGTCAGGACGATAGACCTCGTCGTCTTGGACTCTCCGCGGTGGGGGCCGGGGTGCGGGGGGATGAACATGACGGGTGTGAATGTTCAAAGTGTCCTTTGTGACTTTGTGCCTGGACCACTCATCGTCCGTCGAGTAACTCGGGTCCCAGTCGGATGCTCGTGGCATAGTGGGCGAAGAGGCTGAAAAGACGGGTGAAAAGTAGAAAATATATCCCGACTGTTCAGTCTGAAATTTGAAGTGAGGACAAAGCAGAGCAATCAATCCAAAACCTTTGGGTTGGTCTCAGTTGCGGCGTGGACACACAGAGCGGGGTCGACGCTGAGGGGGCGGCACAGCAGCAGAGGTGACACGGTATAAAGAGAAGGTAACGTAAGAAAGCAGAAATGTCAGCAAAGGTGCGGCTGCAGCAGAACTTGAAGGAATTGCGCCCCTCTTGCTGGAATGGGGGCTGAAAGCTGCCTGATCGCTAGCGGCATCCTCATGCGCCCGGTCTTGTGAACACAAATCAGCCGGAAGGCATATTTGGCCTATCAACGATAGTGTTAGAGGCCGTCCACATGCCTGCATCCCCTCTGCGCTGTTGTAGCGCTGCAGTGTGCGATTCTTGCGACGGCTTTGCCCTACATCCCTCGGGTCTCTCCAGCTAGCGGCACGAGGATGGTGATGGTTTGGTGGGGCATGTCGAAAATAACACTAATCAAGCGCCATCAAGCGCCAAAGCCTCCATCTACTCTAGGCTGGGGGCGGAAGTGACATATCAAGTAAGCCTTGTTAGTGTACAGCGCTGCTATCAAGCAACCCGATCAATCTCCAAGTGTTAACTTCGTGGATACTCCCACTCCGTTGATCTCCCTTTGACGCGCGCTCCAAGACACATGTTCTCCATGCTTCAGCGCCTCCTGAAACAGCTCCGCTCGCGTGCGACCCGCCGAGGTATCGTGACCAACAAGCTGATCGGAGTAAGCCTTCATGTGCCCTGGGCCGCGTTTTCGGCTAGAGCAGCCCCAAGATCGTCTTCGATAGCCACAGCTCTTCAGCCGCACCTTTCCAGTCAGGGTCGGTCCGAAATTCCAGGCTTTCGGTCTTCATTAGATGGTGTGAACTTTGACGAGATAGGTATTCCGTGAGAGACGTTAAGATGTAGATCGTTTATTCCATTTGAACACTCCAATGTGCATGTGAGCGAAGAGGGTCTAGCCGAGTGTCGGCGCCAGCGAACGCCGGCTATGCAAGTATCGTACAGTTCGTAATTATATCTTCTCCTCGACGACTTCCTTCAAAGTCTCCGCTCGTCGAATCAGCTCTTCGTAGACTGTCCAGGCAAGCGCACTGCTCATTGCCTTCCTCGCGATCCTAATACCAAGTCCATCGAACAAGCTGCGCATACCTTCCTCCGCAAGCATCTTCTTGCTCGCCTGTACCATATTGCCGTACTTGTGGGGCATAAGCTGTATGCGCGTTTTGATAGCATCGAAGGGATTCGTAATAGTTGTCCCCAGCCCCGCTGCAGCAACACCCGAGATGAAGTTTATCCCCGCGGATGTGCTGGTAGACAGCTTGGTGGCGGTACCAGACGTCTCTTCAATCTTGGTTGCGAGACTAGAAAGTTTCCGTTTCGATTGCTCGTAGAAGAGGACGTAGAGACCCGCGTAGGGTGCATCGCGAACGGCTGTTGCGCCGAAACCAGCGAAGAAGCCTTTGAGTCCTTCTGTTCGGAAGATGTCTCGAGATGCGGTGAAGAGCGAATTGTACGAGTACAAACTACTCTCGTACCGCACCTTCAGAACGGTTATCGGCATCATAATGAAGCCCGCCCATGTCCGCGCAAAGGCTCCCGTTGCCAGGTTTGCGGTGTTGCTCAGTTTAGGCAGAGAGCTCGAGTGCTCCGCGCCTTTGACTGCTGCATCGCTGCTGCCCGCCGCGACCAGACTCGCTCTATGTCGTAACGCGTTGAGACTTGAAAAGTATATGGCAGAGCCAAACCCTGTGCGCAGGGTACTTGGTAATGTGCCCCTCCAGAACTGACGTATCGGGTTCGGGCCGCTGGCTATCGACTGGATGGTACCGAGGAGGGTGCTCGAGCGGGATTGTTGGACGCGGGTTTTGAGGAGGTCGGCGGGTTGGAGAAGGACGGCAGACAGGATGCCTGAGTTTAGACCGGCGAAGAAGTGGACTGCGCGGTTGTTAGTAATTACAATCCGCTAGCTGTCGCAATAGCAATTATGCTCCTCGCTCTTTCCACTTACAGTAGGACGACGAGCGCTTTCCGCGGGCGCCATCTGACATTGCCGAGGCGTCGAGTATTCAATTCTTATTTTAAGAGATCTGAAGCTGCAATACGCATCATGGTAATAGCCCTGGAAGACTGGCCGCAAAGATTAGGGTGAGAGAGTAACAACGTGTCTGTCGGTCTCACGCGAAAAAGTGTCATGACGACATGTTCCGAGCCTCGGCGAGTCGGTGATATTTTCGCTTGCGTCTGGTACCGCGTCTATGAACACGATGCGTCTGATGAACTCATGAACTCCGTAGACAGTATTAGCATCGTGATTCGAAAGTCCGTTGTCCAAATTAGAACAACTGGCCGAAGCGCATTCATCATGTCGCATTATCTTGATCTTAAGCTCAATCAATATTACGAAGTAGCACCTTCTCAACCCTATCATACATCGCTCCATACATCCCAGACATGACTCCAGAAACCTATCAATCACGTACTCGGTCCTCCATCAGTCCTCATCATCGTCGTCGTCTCCGAAGATAGCCTTGAAAACATCCTCAGAAGCCCGTTCATTCGAAAGCGCCTCATTCTTCTCCACGTCCACAGCTGCATGCCCACTCTGTTCTGTAGGTATAGCTGCAGCCGGGACAGCAGCCTCCGATGCCTGTCCCATCCAAGCCGGCCGCTGAAGCGCAGGACCGTTAGTCAAAAACTCATGTTGCAACTTCTCCATAGCCGACTTGGACACTGCTTCTTCCGTCTGCGATTTGAAGTGGCTTTCGCCAGCATCAAACTCCGGTGGCATGTCTGGCGGGGGCTTGACATTGAAGCGTTTGCAAAGGAGTCGCGATGGGTAGAAGGGGAAACTACTTCGAGTCATGGGACCGTACATGCCTAGCTTCGCCGCCTGCTCTGCGGGATCTTCTGGCTTTGCGGCTGGCTGTCGTAGAAGGTTCACATTCGCTGCTCCACCATCGTTTCCGTTCAAGGTTGAGGATGACGCGGATGTGAATCGGGAGGCCATAATGCCAGTTGTTGGTTTGAAGACCTCGGCAGCATGTGCAAACTCCTGAAGTTCTTTGATCCAGTCGGAGACTGATACGCCCTCCCTTCGTTCTGGCAGGTCCTCCTTCAGTCCTGCTTTCAACTCCAGGAAGCCGACATAACGCGCACGCTTCTGCATGTCCTCAGCATAAGGCATCCAGCCCGTCGCGCCCTTGGCAAGTGCTGCAGCGGCCACACTCTTATCGAGAGTAGGCACGAAACTCCACAGATCTTTTGGTTGGGCTTTGCTTGCGGGCAAATGTCCTTCAGGAGCAGCTTCTCCCAGGCCCTGGGGCAGATCGGCTTTACCAGATAACGCAGCCAACCGATCTCGGGCGTCCTTGGGTATGAAGTCGAAGATGGACTTTCCGGGCAAAGCTTTCTCCCCCAAGAGTGCCGAACGCCCTTTAGCATCCAACGTTGATGCTTTCGCCGCGTCTGCTACAGACTGGTAGTCTTTCGATTCTGAAGTCGGAGCGGCACTTTTGGAAGATTTCCAACCTGGGGGTATCTTCGGTGGAGGATATTTAGGCTTGCTGGTGAGTTCGGTGAGGCCGGCCGCAAACGTGAAGCCACTCAACGGAGATCTCCCATCTATAGATGGCCTGCTCAGCGAGACTAAGGCTTTGGACGAACTCTTCTTCGAGACGAAGACATGCTTCTCTCCTGCCCCGGGCTTGGCGAATTTACTGGGCTTCTTCCCCTTCTTCTCCTTTCCTATGGTCTTGTTGAATGTGATCTTTGGACCTAGTTCATAAGGGTCTTCGTCGTCTGAGCCGGTATCGTTTAGCACACCGACGCCAAAGGAAGACTTCTTCGGCGCAGGTTTCTTCACAATCGATGCCTTCTTCGGACCCTCAAGATAATGCAAGTCGAACTTGGATGGACGATCCGCAGCCTCTTCTTCCACAACACCCAAGCGGGCTTCCGACGTGTATCCCAGGCCTTTGCGACGCACCTCTTCTCGTGGCAAAGTCATAATCCGAGCATCTTGAGGCGCAAACAGATGAGCTGCGTCGTCCTTGGGTCCCGATGCGCCATCTTCCAGGTCAGCATTCCGGCGCACTTTGCGACCAATGCCCTGATCTCGTCGCCAGCCCATCTTCTGCGCAATCTTGACGCCCATTGTCTCCTCCTGGGTCACAAACAGGCCGAATAGTCCATCGTCGTTCGCTTGTCCAGCTTCGCCTATGCCGGCAAAGTTCTGCGCAGTCTCCAGTTGGCGCGACTCGGCTGCTGCTGCCAGATCCTCCTCGTCCATGAAATCTTCGGCTCGCTGGGTCGGGCCATTGGGCTGGTCTTTTTTGCGGTCTGCGCGCGAGGAAACGAATGTTTTCGGGGTCCATCCTTCTTTAGATCCAACTGTATTAAAGTATCTTAGCATAGTCAAGAAGTCTTGCGTTCGTCAAGGTATGGCTCGGAAACTTACCCTGCACTGAAACCTCCAGTGAATGCGCCGTGGAGTCTCCGGCGACCTCGCTCGTCCGTCACGGTCTGCTTCCACACCGGCACGAAAGCGCCATCATCTGCCTCTTCTTCGGGAAGCCCGGTGCCTAGGGATATGTAGGTTGTCGGTCCGCCGCGAGAGCGCTTTTGCGCGTTAGTCGGGGAAGGCGCGCGCGGCCGCTTGTATGCCATGGCGATAGATGTCGGGAGTGGAGTTGCGCAGGTCGTGGGATATTGTTTCGGAACCAGATTCCTTGAGCCAGATTTGGCTAACGCAATCCGTAGACCAGGTTCGTCAAACAGTCAAGCAGTCACCAGTCAAGCGAGGGAAAGTTGAAGCGGATCACGAGTAAGCGGCCGATGGGTGACTAATCAGGCGCGATGCTATTGGCTGAGGGACGCTTACCCAGCCATCAAGCGCAGCCAGACCACGCCCGGTAGCCAACTCAACAAGCCGCACGGGGACTATGAAGTGCACACTTGGACAGTTGTCTACGGGTATGAGTTTCACGTGTCGGTAGAATTCGCAGCGCTCAGCTCAAGTGACTGGACTGGCTGCCGTTGGACTAAGACAAAGGAGTTAGTAGGCAGGGTGGGCCCGATGATGTAGTGCCGCGCCTGGGTCGAGCGGCCTAATGAGCAAGCAAGGCTGGTGTCCGGCTAAGCTCGTTGAGACCCTGATCAATGGATAGAGCTGGAGCGCAATCTTGTGAGATTGAGGCAGGCAGAGACGAAGAGAAATTCGTGCCTCCTGAGGTATTTCTTTGACAGGTATGAATTAAGACAAGGAGGACCGCAGAAACAGGGTGGACGCATTGTCCCGAAGGAAAACCTACCCCACGACAGCGGCCTGGCGTTGGGCGACGAGCTAGGCATGGAGCGAGAGAGCTATCGTGTTTGACCTCCGCCCAGAAATAGCCATACACACAACACATGCACTCGGGCGGGCGCAGTACATGCTTCTCTCGACGTCGATGCTGCATCTCTCTGCTGTAACCCGTGTTCTGCATCCGTCCCAGCAGACGCCTATCTAGACCAGCCTACCAACACGCCGGTGCCAAGTTTGGCGACTGCCATCTACCGGCCCCTAACCTCTTGTACCCTTACGCCGCAGTACCCACCGAGGACAACAAAGTAATCTCTCCACATTGTCACGATAGCCTTGCTGCTTGCGGCTCTGCGCTCGCTCCACGCCCAGTGCGTCTGTGCTAATCGAGGCCCGCATCTGCTCCCTGCGTTGCGCGTAACCGTGGTAGAGGCAGCGCATTCACCATGTCGGCCGCCGCCCCATCATCGCCCGCCGTCGTGCGCAACTCTTCTTCGTCGCGCAGATCCATCGACCGCCCCCATCGCTCCCAGAGCCAGAGCCAGCCCACCGCCAGCCGCGCGCCCCCCGCAAGCCGCCATCAGCAAGGCGGCCTCCCCAACGTCGCCCGCCGAGACTACGAGCAGAGCAACGTCGCCCACGAGCAGCCCTCGCCGCAGCCCTCACGCCGCAGCGAAGACCCAGGCCGCACCGAAGCCACCCGCCGGAGCCACACGCGGTATGCGTCTGACGCGTCGACGACTTCCGCAATGCCCGTCAATGGCGTAGCTGCCGAAGCCAGGCCGGGCCAGCCTCAGCCCGTCAACAAGCGCAGGACCACCATCACCGCACCCAGCACCGGAACATGGGCCCTCGGAAAGACCATTGGCGCCGGCAGCATGGGAAAGGTCAAGCTGGCCAAGAATGCCGAGACCGGGGAGCAGGTGTGTACTTTGGTTGTTTACGTGGGGCATGATGGCGCATCCAGCTGAGATAGAGGAACACTCAAACACGTACTAATCACAACAGGCCGCCGTCAAGATCGTCCCGCGACAGTCCCAGGACCAGCACCAGAGCGCCGCCGACCGCGAACGAGCCGACCACTCCAAAGAAGTCCGAACCGCCAGGGAGGCTGCCATTGTCAGTCTGCTGAACCATCCCTACATCTGCGGCATGAAGGATGTCGTGCGCACAAACTTCCACTGGTACATGATGTTCGAGTTCGTCAATGGTGGACAGATGCTCGACTACATCATCTCCCACGGCCGCCTCAAGGAAAAGCAGGCGCGCAAGTTCGCTCGACAGATTGCCAGCGCCCTGGACTACTGCCACAGGAACAGCATCGTCCACCGAGATCTCAAGATTGAGAATATCCTTATCAGCAAGATGGGCGACATCAAGATCATTGACTTTGGACTGAGTAACTTGTTCTCGCCTAGGAACCAGCTCAAGACGTTCTGTGGAAGTCTGTACTTTGCCGCCCCCGAACTCCTCCAGGCCAAACAATACACTGGCCCGGAGGTCGACGTCTGGAGTTTTGGCATTGTGCTGTACGTCTTGGTCTGCGGCAAGGTGCCGTTCGATGACCAGAGCATGCCACAGCTCCATGCCAAGATTAAGAAGGGCCATGTCGATTATCCCCCATGGCTGTCCGCAGGTATGTTACACCAACTCAGAATTCCATCCCTAGCTAACCTCACCAGAATGCCGCAACCTCATCCACCGAATGCTGCAAACTGACCCCACCCAGCGACTGACCCTCTCGGAGATCATGAGCCATCCCTGGCTTACCAAGGGATTCAACAGCCCTCCCGAAAACTATCTGCCCCACAGAGAACCCGTGCAACTACCTCTGGACAGCGAGATTATTGAGAAGATGCAGGGATTCGACTTCGGTACAACCGAGTACATCACCACGCAACTGACCAACGTGATTCAGTCAGAGGAGTACCAACGCGCCGTGCGAACAGCCGCCCGCAAGGCGACCGCACAAACACCAGAAGCGGAGAAGAAGAAAGGCATATTCGACTTTTACAAAAGACGCACCTCAATCGGAAGTCGAGAGCAGTTGACTGCGTCGTCGTCCGAGGACATCCAGCGGGGAATGGATCCAGTCAACGCATACAGTCCTCTCCTCTCAGTCTACTTCCTGGTCAAGGAGAAGAGAGATCGTGAACGACAGGAAGCCAACCCAGGTCCTGTCGCCATGCCCCAGGAGCCCGACGAGAAACCTCTGAAGATGCCGGATCTTCCGCCACCGCCAGCGGCGTACACCAACTCAGCTGCCTACGAGATGGCAGGTGAAAAGCCCACAGGCGGAAGGTCGCGACCAAGAGCTAGGACCCACGGCGAAGATGACATCACCGAGGGTCTGAAACGAGTCGACCTAAATAACCCGCCCCCGGTGTTGCCGCCTCAGGTTGAGCAACCGAAGAAAGAGGGTGCTGCTGTAGGTTTGTTGCGCCGCTTCAGTACCAGAAAGTACAGGAGTCATGAGAAGGACCGGACCGTTGAGCCCTTGCCTCCACCAACTCCAGCAGTCGCAATTTCCAGTCCCGCCGAACCCGCACCGGCCCCAGCGCCAGCCACCGTACCGAGAAAGAGCTTTAGCATTCGAAGACCGCGCGGTCGCGAAGGAGGTTCTGCATCGTATCTTCCAGACAGCGCCAACAATCAACCCGAGTTACTCTCACCTCCCGGCACTGGTAACAGCGCTGCGCGGAAACTAAAGGCACTCGGTCGCTCCACCAGCGTCAACTCGGCTGATCTCCGGAGACGACTCAGTCGACGCGGTCGATCTTCGGAAGACCCTGGAAACCCTCCGCCCACGAGTGGATCAGACAGAACAGATAGATCCGAATTGAGCGCGAATAAAGTTCGACCAAACAACGATGCTGCTTCCGACGATCTCACTTCGAGTCCACGGCCCATGCAAGCTTCCCGAGCGAAATCGCTGGGCCATGCCCGAAGAGAAAGTATTCAAGCGAGGAGGATGAAGAGAGAGGCAGCAAAGGAAGCCAACGTACCCGAAGAGACAGATGCAGAGCTTGCAGAAGCGCAAGCAGAAGCTAGTCGGAGTCCAGATGCTGTGAAGCCTGTGTTCCTCAAAGGTCTTTTTAGCGTCTCAACAACAAGCACCAAGCCCCTTCCTATCATTCAGGATGATCTAATAAGGGTGCTCGACCAGCTTGGTGTTGAGTGGACCGAAGTCAAAGGTGGCTTCCGCTGTCGACATGCACCCAGCATCGACATGAACAAACCCATGGATTCGCCAGCGTCCCCACCAAGCGGAGGGCACAAGAGAAAGATCAGCTTCGGCGGCTTCATGGGTGGCGACAGAGATCGTGACGAGTTCCGAGACAACCACCGAGCACCCGGGACACCGAAATCGCGATCACGGCCATCTCCTGCGGACCAAAGCTACACGAATACCGACGAGTCTGACGGCAGCGAAGAACGCGACGAGCGACGACCACGACGCGCATTAGCGGCGGGCGAAACATCGACGCAGGTGCAGAGCGACATGGGCTCTAGCATGAGTCTGGTGTTCGAGATTTTGATCGTCAAGGTCCCGTTGCTAACACTGCACGGCATCCAGTTTAAGAAAGTGGATGGGGGTACATGGCAGTACAAGAATATGGCTCAGACTATTCTATCGGAGCTAAGACTTTGATTGACGATAGTTCGAGTATACATATAAGAAGAAGAAGGGGTTTAGGCGTTTTCTCTTTTGATTATTTCGCGGGCATTGATTGGTAAGCATGGTTCACTTCTACGATGGGCTTTTGTTATGTTGCAATTGTAATTCTTTTAGTGTGGGGAGGGTTTGGTTTGGCTGGAAGCACCGTTTAAGGGTGAAGACACCCACGAATTTCATATGTTTATTCTTCTGTTGTTCTGAAGTAGGGTGAGAGCGGGGAGTAGTAGATTAGACGAGATAGTCTTGGATCTCGTTTTAGGAATGTTGAATCGCTTTCTGACTATGCTTGTGGAGTGTGTCTGCTAGGGACCCTTGTGGTGAATGAGGTGCAAATGCTAGCAACACAGAGCTGCCTCGGTAACTTTGCCATGGTGAGGCTGTGTGTATGCAGGTCTATCACTACACGGGCGTGCCATCGTAGAAGCAAGCCACGATGGAGCTTGCACCTCATACAAGAATAAACCTAAACAGGTCTAAGCCTACATCGACGTTAGGTCACCCACTCTGCATGTTTTCATGTTAATGTAGGCGGCAGGCCTGTTTGGTTGTTTCCTAGATTAACGTGCTCGGTACCTAGGTATCTTCCCACATCAGAACCCTTATCGCTTGGGATTAGTGCTCTTCTCAGAGCATCCTGACGCATTAACAGGATCCGAGTGCTCGACTGTATTAGTCTCCGGCCTATTCTGCGGTTGATTTAATTGCTACCTATGTGTGCACGACAAAGCACGCGCTACATATCTACTACTCTGCATTGGATGCTCGACAAGCGAGTTATGACTCTATCCTTGCCACAACAATGTTGACATCGACACCGTTCGACAATGTCATCGCTGGCATTGTGCGTCCTTTGTTAGCCTGCGGATATCTGGCAGAAGCAAAGATCTCTCAAATTCTTCTAGATGCCAAAGCCCATTTCATTCGCACAACGGAGTTTAGCATTAGTGACTGCGCGATACTCAAAGACATCATATCCAAGCATACAAGCGTATCAACTTGATTTCTATCAACTTTCTTGCTCTTACTGGGCCGATCTGTATGAAGTTTCGTCCGCCTTTCGCGTTCGGTTTAACAAGATGCATAGTATTGTTTAGTCCTAGAATAGATGTTCTCCGCCGGGTTAAGCTGTTCCTCGGGGTGCTGTTTACAAAAAGGCGGGTTACCCACGGGCATGCTCCGACTGCATCGCCCAGATGTTGGAGGTCGTCTTAAAACAGTGTTGGAGCCATTGGCGAGCAGTTGCTATAACGTGTTTTTGTTCAGCGTTTTCTTGTACGAGGTGAAAGTATGTAGAGATGGCTGCTTTACTGAGGAAGCATGACGCCAAAAATAGCTGACTAACCGTGGAAGGCCCCGGCGCTAGCGGGGTGTTTCGCGACTCCATGAGTGCTCTCGAGTGCTGCCAGACTCACCACGTCCGATTCCCCACCGCGTGACCCCGAAAGCAATCGCCGCCTCACCATATAAAGTCGCGCAAACCTTCTTATCTTACCTCCACCTCACAATCAATACGAACCTGTCGGTAATCGCGGCCAATGCAACATTTCCTCGCGCAACAGCAGCAGCAGCAGCAGCAGCAGTACGGCGACTGGCCCGCTCAAGCTCAAGCCCATGGCCATCACCAGCAACCGCAGCACCATGTAGGCCAGCACGGACAACACCAAGCCCAGGCCGCCCAGCTGCACGCTCAACAACAACAGGCCCAGGCCGTCCAGGCGGCTGCCCAGCGACAGTACCACCAACAACTCGCCGCCAGCAATGGCACCACCCTTCCCGGCAACAACGCCGTCCCCCGCGGCCCCGCGAACGACGTCCAGACCACCGATATCGGAATGACGGAGGAGAACAGGCGCGTCTTGGAGTGGATAGCCCAGCTCATGAAGCCTGCCACGCGTGAGGCTGCTCTTCTGGAATTGAGCAAGAAGCGAGAACAAGTTCCGGAGTTGGCTCTGATTCTCTGGCACTCTTTCGGTACGCGTGTTGTGTTGTCGAAAATGCGACGGGATACTAACGACTCCAGGTGTCATGGCCTCGCTCCTCCAAGAGATCATCTCCGTCTACCCTCTGCTCAACCCGTCGCAATTGACCGCTGCCGCTTCTAACCGTGTGTGCAACGCTCTTGCGCTTCTCCAGTGTGTCGCTTCGCATACCGAAACTCGCGGCCTATTCTTGAGCGGTAAGTCAGACATCGCACTGAGGAGACGTAGCTAATGCACTCACAGCGCACATCCCGCTCTTCCTCTACCCGTTCCTCAACACAACGTCCAAGTCGCGGCCTTTCGAATACCTGCGTCTTACATCTCTCGGTGTCATTGGCGCTCTCGTGAAGAACGACTCTAGTGAGGTTATTAACTTCCTCTTGACAACTGAGATCATCCCGCTTTGCCTGCGTATCATGGAGACTGGCTCGGAGCTCAGCAAGACAGTGGCCATATTCATCGTTCAGAAGATCCTGCTAGACGACATCGGTCTTGCCTACATCTGTCAGACCTACGAGCGCTTTTATGCTGTCGGCACCGTACTCAGCAACATGGTCAACCAACTTGTGGAGCAGCAAACCGTTCGCCTGCTCAAGCACGTTGTTAGGTGTTTCCTTCGGTATGATTACTCCATGTCCGTCTTTTGTACTTGTAACTAACTTTGCCAGCTTGAGCGATAACGCTCGCGCTCGCGAGGCGCTTCGCCAGTGCTTACCAGAGCCTCTCCGCGACGCCACCTTCTCCTCTGTTCTTCGAGACGACGCAGCCACTAAGCGCTGTCTTGCTCAACTCTTGATCAACCTCTCTGACAACGTCGTCGATGCCGCCAACAACCAGCAGCTCATGCACTAGGAGACATGCAATGGGGAGCACAAAACACCTCCTCTGCACATCTGGCACATCTGGCACAGGTACCTTCGATGATCTTGAATACCTCTCCTTCGCCTTTTGTATATTTCTAGCTTCGGCTTTTGCTTCATTTGGCGCGGCAGTACGCGTAGACGACATACCCCTCAGTTGCGATCGGATTGGGCTTACGAAAATGGTGCGGCGGATACGGCGTTAGGGTTTCTCACACGGGATACCCCGTAGCAACACTGTGCTTGGGCACATGCTACTTCCTTTAACTTGTGTTTATCGACTTTGTTCTTCTTACTCTCATGGTTATGGCGAGGAGTTTTCGGGCATTGCATGGCGTAGTGCACTCATCAATGCACGGATTCTAGGAGGAAAAGTCAAGTGTATAGTATCATTTTTTATTTCTTCTATGCATGCGAGCAATGCAGAAGCATGTTTCATCGACACTCGTGCAAGCTAGTCGTGATGTATTCTTTGTAATTGCCAAAAGTGACATGAAGGTATTCGATGCAACCCGTCTAGGGTATGTGTGGATTGACATGCGACGTATCCCTTTTAAGCACAATTTGACGGCGATACCCATAGCAGAGAACACGAGCAAAGGTGAGATGTTTTTTTCCATGTCAACCTTGGAAAGTGACTTCCATCAGTCGTCCAAAGCGGACTAGCGCGGGCTTCGCTAGCGGCGAAACGGCCACAGTCAAGCGACAAATCCGCCGCCACTTTTCTCTCTTCTTCAACCACCACCGCTACAGAGCCACCAAAGGAAACGATATCCTCTGGGAGACACATCAGCCAACATGTCGAAAATCTCTGTCGCCGGCGTTCGTACGAACGTTCAACAGCTCCTTGAGTACTCCAACGAGACCAAGAAGAGGAACTTCCTCGAGACCGTCGAGCTCCAGATCGGCCTCAAGAACTACGACCCCCAGCGTGACAAGCGTTTCTCCGGAACCATCAAGCTCCCCACCCTTCCCCGCCCTCGTAAGTCGATACCAGTCCGCAGAGGAGAGAGCGCATGCTAACAAGCTCCAGGCATGAGCATCTGCGTTCTCGGTGACCAGCACGACATTGACCGTGCCAAGCACCATGGTGTCGATGCCATGAGCACCGATGTAAGTATCCTCTGAAGTCTTTCGCCTAGACATGTCTAACAACTCCACAGGACTTGAAGAAGCTCAACAAGAACAAGAAGCTCATCAAGAAGCTCGCGAAGAAGTACGACGCCTTCGTCGCCTCCGACGCCCTCATCAAGCAGATTCCCCGTCTCCTCGGACCCGGTCTCTCCAAGGCCGGAAAGTTCCCCACACCCGTCTCGCACGCTGAGGACCTCGCCAACAAGATGAACGAAGTCAAGTCCACCATCAAGTTCCAGTTGAAGAAGGTTCTGTGCATGGGTGTCGCTATCGGCAACGTTGGCATGACTGAGGACGAGCTGATCGGTAACATCATGTTGGCCATCAACTACCTCGTCTCGCTTCTTAAGAAGGGATGGCAGAACGTGGGCTCCTTGACCATCAAGGCCACCATGAGCCCCCCCAAGCGTCTCTACTAGGGACTTGGTCGCTACGTCTGCTGGGTTATGTCGTGGCGAGCTGTCGAAAGACGGCTTGCTATGAATCACGATCCTACGGAATCTCGATGGAACGAACAATGGGTCTAGCTAGCTTGAATGCATGCATGAACCCATGAATATTGTCTTTGCCGTGAAACCATAATGTGATTAAGCCTTGACCTCCACGCTGACTGCGCATGCGATGAACCTATATGGCGTCACTGAAGTCTGGACCTTCACTTTAACACAAGCTATCCCATTGCAGCCTGATATCCGCGATCCCATCTCGAATTTTCACATCGCACGGCCACCACCCACTCTACCAACCTCTCCCGCCTTGCGCCCCACCACCGAACTTTTCCCATCCAAACCTGCAATCCTCTGTGCGCAGCGCTGACTAATCCCCACTCTAGCTCCTTGGCACCGCCTACAAAAACACGCACGCCTCCGTCCCTCGTTCTGCTTCTCCATCATCAGTTAGGAAATCTACATCCTATGTATATTATCGTGGCTCCACGCAAGTGGCATGCTGAGAGTTGTCCCTCCTTTCTCTGTGGACAGTTCTCCGTTCCCGGCCCCGTAGATCGATATCCGCCCGTCATCCTTACCAATTGCAATTATCCGTGAAAAGATGGATTGGAGTTGTGGGACGGTGTGGGACACCTTTTCTTTGTGAATGTGCAGTTTGTGATTCAGTTCTGGCTTCGGCGCTCAATTCGTCAGAGTTTGGACGCTGCGATGATGCTGTCTTGTCCATCGTGCAAACATGGTATTGCGATGCTGCGCAGAGCTTTTCGAGGTTTTTGTGGGGCATCTCAGCTCAACGCGTTGCGACTTGAGAGAGACGTTATGCTTCAAAGACACGCGATACCAGAGTGCGCTCAAGCTACCATCAGCGATGCATTGCTACCTAGGTACATGTAGGGTATATCGGGGTTAAACTTGGCTGTGCATATCGCCCTGCCCGCGTTCGATGGCACAGGAACGGCCCTGTAGCTGGCTGCACATCACGTTCTCTGCTCAGACCGCATGGCCACGTCTAGATATGCAATGAGATGAGATTATATACTCTGCCACATTATGTATCTATGCACCGTCTACACAAGTCCACCTCATCACCGTGGTGTGTCCCTCCACTTGTCGAACGCCACCTCAGCAGACTCGCTCGTAATGCCACACCGTTCACCCAGCATACTCCACGTCCTCATCCGTATAATTTTCTCGACTGCCCTCTCATTGCGCATGAGCATGGCCAAGCTCTCCGTCCTCGCCTCCTGTGGGAAGTAGCGCCCCGAGTATGGATCTAATCGCTCATCCACGGTCCTCTCTCTCGCTTTGGCGTCTTCGATCTGCCGTAGTACACTGTCCGGATCGTCTGGGTCTGGCGATGTCGCAACACCCGCGCAGTAGTCCAAGACATCTGATCGCACTGCCCAGCTCGGGAACAGCACCTTCTCCTTGAACCCCTCACATTGCTCTGGCTGTAGCGACCGACCATGATCAGGTGACGGCAGCTGTCGTGTGCTTGTAGAAGTCGGATCGAAGCCTCGTTGTGCGGGTGTGAGGAGGGCGTTGAGGTTCTGTGTTATGGAGTCGTCGATTGCGCCGCGCGATATGCGGAGGAAGTCTGTTTCAGCCGACTTGCGCATTAGTTAGTGAGCTGGCTAGCAAGTCTATGAGAGTGCTGACCTCGCAGTGCGGTTTGGTTGAAGCAGAATTGTGGCGTGAGGCGAGGTGCCGCAGATGGTTTCGACATTTTGGACGGCGAGGAGGGCTGAGAGGGGGTGGTAGAGGTAGACGGCTCCGAACGTTTCCAGAAGTAGTTCGCCAGCTTGAAGTCAGTTAATATTAGTAAACGCGGTGTTTTGTAGAGCTGTAAAGTTGCAGATGTCAATGCTGGAGATGCCGCCTAGTCCATGGCGTGTAATGATGTCAGCACCCCATCCAAGGGAAAATAGGACAGCTACCTCTGCAAAGCACAACTATAGACAGAAAAGCTAAGAGAACTACATTGCCTTTGCATCTCACAGCAGTGTATTTCCAACACTAATGTAGGCTGCAAGGCACTTGTTCAGTTTTCCCGTGAACGCGATATCAGCAAGGGTCTGCTCGCTCGAGGTTCGCGTTTGGCAAGCGCGTAGGAGGCGCGCTTTGATACCCGTGGACGCGCCTGCCGCCTGGAACACCATGCCCTTCCGCTTCGCTGCCTGTTGCACTTCAACAACTCGACTCCATTTAAAGGCAGCGCCCTCAATCCGATTGTTGCAGTCGTCTTCCATTTTTCTACGCCGCAATTGCCCTCAGCAGCCTGGTGGCGCACACGACACTCGCACTTTCGTAGCCATGGCTCCGAAGCAGGCCACTCTCGGGTATGTAAAGTCTTCTCAGACTACGTTAGGGTGCGGCGACGGCATTGGAATTCTCCTACGAGCCAATTGTACAATGCTTACGGTCTCTGCAGAAAGTTCTTCGGGAAACCCAACGGCGACGCAGCGAAGCAACAGTCGAAACTCTCCTTCTCCACGAAGCCGAAGCCTGTAAAGAAAGACGTAGAGGCCAAAGAGGAACCTAAGTCATCGCCAGAAGAGGTGAAGAAAGAAGAGAATGACGATGTCGATTCAGACGCAGACGTCAGGGCGCCTGCCAAGGAGAAGGTAGAGGCGGATGACGATGCGATGGAAGTCGACAGTACAACCTCCGAAACTGGAAAGAAGAGGCAAATAAAAGAAGAGGAAGAGGAGGAGTCCGAAGAAGAACCCCCAACAAAACGACAACGGAGAAAGCCAGCGCAGGAGAAGGAGAAGCCAAAGAAAGCAGCTGCGAAGCCAAAGGCAGACAAAGCACCAGCAAAGTCGAAGAAGGCGGCTGCTAAACCGAAAGCTGCAACACCAGAGGACGACGACGAGGAAGTGTCAGCGCCGGCAAAGGTCGCGAAGGGCAAGAAGAAAGAGGCGAAATCGTCACCTGTACCCGAGGATGATGCCGACTCAAACAAGGAAGAGGAAGAGATTGTGAGCTCCGAGGAGGAGCCAGAAGAGGTCAAGACCAAGGCGAGGAAGAAGGTTCAGACGACGCTTTCGTCCAACACCAAGGACCCATATCCTGACTGGAAACCGGGTGAGCCAGTGCCATACGCCGCACTCTGCACAACGTTCTCCAAGATCGAAATGACGACGAAGCGCCTGGAGATTCTCGCCCACTGCTCGCTCTTCCTCCGCCAAGTCTTGCGACTGACACCATCTGACATGCTCCCAACCGTCATGCTCATGGTGAACAAGCTCGCAGCCGACTACGCAGGCATCGAGCTCGGTATCGGCGAGTCTCTGATCATGAAGGCTGTCTCCGAGAGTACTGGTCGAAACCTACAACAGATCAAGAGCGACCAGAACGAGATTGGTGATCTTGGACTTGTTGCAGCGAAGAGTCGATCCAAACAGCC